TTCAATATAATGAGGGATCAGGTAGAAGTGTACCCTCAGACTGCAATACTTGAGTATGTGGCTTACTAGGAGTTGAACATGGTCTGCAGGAACTCATGCCTGCTTTATGTAGGAGTTAAACTTTGGTGCAATGGCTTTGTTTACTACGTTCATGAATAATTGATATATATATTCCATGATTTTACCTCGATATATTTTTATAATCTTCGAATGGCTTGCTACTCTTCAATGCTTGAGATCACAGTTTATGTTATTAAAAAACTAGCAGACAAACAAATACTATTTATTAATCTTCGAATCTTTTTTTTTTTTTGTTGTCTAAATCTTCCAGTCTGACGTTCTTTTTAGTTAAGCTGAACTCTCACCTAATTGTAGACAGTTTTGCCCTCAATAAGTGGATGAAATGTTTGGAAATTTTACCAGTAAAGGAGGGAAATTTTTGCCCTCAATAGGTCGTATCCTTCATTGATTAACAAAAATTCATGGAAAATCGAAAATTAGGTGATAATTCGGGAGGTAATTCGGCATTTTACTCATTGCTTTAATGCCATAGTGTCCTCTAATTTACAAAGAGGAGATCAAACTCGGATGACGGTTTTAACCCACCTCTGCAAAACTTGTAGCCTTTGTGCGGATGTAATTGTCCACAATGACTTGACTCCATTTTCTTTTTCATAGTGGCTTATCAAATTGGTACTAAATCCATATGTGTGGCACCTTAACGCAGAGAAATTAAAGAGCTCATGCACCAGATGGCCTCCATTATAATTAACGTCAGTAATAGTACATATTCTGATAGAAGCTAGAGGATGGAACTCAATGCAGAGAACGAATGCTTGGCTGATCGTGTCTTTGCTTGCATTGCACATGTTATGTTCTGCTGACTAATCAAAACATTGGCTTTGTCTATTTCTTTTAGGGTAATGATTTCCCCACTCCCTTTTTATCCACTTACACTCCTTTTTTAGTTATAAAATAGTGTAGGTGGATAAAATTGGAGTGGGGAAATTGATAAACAATAGAGAGCGCAGAGAATGTTTTATCAGCTTATATCCATCAACAAGATGGAACAGCAATTTATATTATCACAACTGAGTGCATCAGTTATAGAGATTACAATATATCCCAAAATAAGTGGGAGCCAAAACTATCATTTGAAATACAAATAGAAAAGCCTATCAGATTACAACTACCTATCAGATTACAACTAAGGAAACCCATACAGACTAGGACTCCTTCTCTACAGCTGCTACAGAATTTGAATTTGAGCACGTGGATAAGCTTTGTCTAACATCCCCCCGCAAGCTGACAGGACGAGAAACAACAGGAAGCTTGGACACCAGGTATTTGAACCGCACAGTGGACAATCCTTTGGTAAAAAGATCAGCTATCTAATCTTGTGAACAAACAAAATGAACAAGCAATTCTCCCCGAACTACCTTCTCTCGAACATAGTGATAATCAACTTCTAAATGTTTGGTTCGAGAATGAAACACAGGATTAGACGCCATGGCAAGAGAGGACACATTATCACACCAAATCTGGGGAGGAGATAAGCGAAGTTTTAAGTCCTGAAACAAAGAACGAAACCAAGAAAGTTCTGCAGCTGTATACGCAAGTTGTCTATATTCAGCCTCTGTGCTAGAACGTGACACTGTCTTGTGCTTCTTAGAACTCCATGAAACTAAATTCTTTCCCAAATATACACAGAAACCACCTGTGGAATGTCGTGAGTCTGGATTCCCAGCATAGTCCGCATCAGAAAAGGCACGAAGATGCAGATCACCAGGCCGATACACTAAACCATGATAAAAGGTATGCTTCAAATACCGGAGGATCCTCTTCACAGCAGACCAGTGAGTAGTCATAGGAGTCTGCATGAACTGACAGACTTGGTTGACCGGATAAGAAAGATCAGGCCGTGTGATTGTAAGGTACTGCAAGGCACCAACAACACTCCGATACAAAGCTGGATCAGAATAGGACTCACCATCAAGAGCACTTAGCTTCTGACCACTTGTGGCTGGCGTGGAAATAGGCTTAGCATCTGTAAATTTTGTGCGAGAGAGCAAGTCCAAGGCATACTTAGATTGCGTTAAATGCATGGAGTCGCCACTGTAAACAACCTCTATTCCCAAGAAATAGTGTAATGGTCCCAAGTCCTTCATGGAAAATGAAGTACCAAGCTGTCGTATAAGTGTAGAAACATGTGTTTGGTCATTCCATGTCACTAAAATATCATCAACATATATTAAGAGAATCAAATAGACGCCATGTTGATTATAGACAAACAAAGAATAATCACACTTTGATTCTTGGAAACCAAGTTCAAGTAAATAGTCAGAAAACCGTTGAAACCAAGCTCTGGGCGCCTGTTTCAACCCATAGAGGCTGCGTTGCAGCTTCCACACATGTTGCGGAAGCTGCGAATCAACAAAACCAGCAGGTTGTCTCATATACACGTCTTCAGTGAGGAAACCATGCAAGAATGGATTCTGCACGTCGAGTTGTCGCACTGGCCATTTATTTGAGACTGCCAAACTCAGAACCAAACGAATAGTACTGTGTTTGACAACTGGACTAAAGGTCTCACCATAATCAATTCCTTCTTTTTGATGAAAACCATTTGCAACTAACCTGGCTTTGTACCTCTCAATCGAGCCATCCGATTTTCTTTTAATCTTAAACACCCATTTATTTGGCAGCAAGTTCATGTGAGATTCATATGGCACAAGAGACCAGGTTCCATTGCGTTGTAAGGCTCTAAATTCTTGACTCATGGCTTGCCTCCATTTTTCAGATTTTACAGCTTGACTATAGCATGTGGGCTCATGGTCTGTAGCATCAATTGTTGCATTCAGAGCATACTTGGGATTAGGCTTGCGTACACCAAGCTGAGACCGAGTCACCATACGTGACTGCACAGGCGATGCATGTTGTAAGGATGTCGTACCAGCCATAGAAGAGACACTACCTGCAGGTACTGGTTCACTTGGATTTTGAGGGACAGAGGCCTGCACCAGAACAGGGACAGCGGAATCTGGTGGAGAGGCTTGAGGAAAGGGAGGGGGTTGGGTGATTTGAGAAATATGGGGGGTGGGTGAAAAATTTATTGGTGGAGACGGTTGACACACTCGTGGAACAGCAACCTCATTAGTAGGCTCAGGAAAAACAAATAACACATCAGGATTAGAATTACCTGAAGAGAAGCCGCCCTCCTTAGAAGATGTGAGATCCTTGAATGGAAACGAGTCCTCATCGAATAGGACATGGCGAGACACATAAATTCGTCTCGTGGACAAATCCAAGCACTTATAACCTTGATGATTCAGCGAATATCCTAGAAAGACACATGATTTGGACTTATTTTGAAGTTTGTTTGTAGTATACGGAGTCAGCCATGGAAAACAGGTACAGCCAAAGACCTTAAACATATCATAAGTATGAGTTTTAAGAAATAGTGTTTGAAAAGGAGACTTATTAGACAACACCCTAGTAGGCAAACGATTTATGATATATGTGGCAGTTTGGAACGCATCAAACCAATAGGAAGTGGGGACAGACGCATGAGAAAGAAGGACTATACCAGTTTCAACAAGATGCCTATGTTTCCTTTCTGCTAACCCATTTTGCTCAGGATGTTTAGTACATGAAAAACGTTGGACTATGCCATGATCAGCAAGATATTTTTGAAATGCATGTTTGGTATACTCTCCTCCTTCATCACACTGTAAGGATTTAATGGTGGTATTTAACATGTTTTCAACATACTTTTTAAACCGAATGAAAATATCAAAGACTTCATGCTTATATTTCATGGGAAAGATCCAAGAATATCTGGAAAAATCATCTACGAAGAGCAAATAATAACGATAACCTTGGACTGAAACAATTGGAGAACTCCAAACATCAGAGTGTACAAGTTCTAAGGGAAAATTTGAAACTGAACTTGACGAACTAAATGGCAATTTAGTACTCTTGCCTAATGGACAGGAATGACAGAAACTTACAGCAGAGGTACCACTAATTGGCACTTGTTTATTTGAAATTAAAAACCTAACAACTGCACTAGCTGGATGACCAAGCCGAAAATGCCACTGCTGTGCGGTGACCCTTGTGCCTACGAACGCTGAAAAAGATTTATTGGATAGTCCACGGCCATCATGTAATGGATATAATCCATTCTCACATCTCCCTTGGAAAAGCGTCTTCCGTGTCTTGAGGTCCTTCACAACAAAGCGATCAGGGAACATTAGAATATAACAATGGTTATCGGAGGTAAAGCGATGAACAGAAATTAAGTTTGTGGAGGCAGAAGGACAATGCAGTATGTCATTGAGATGGAATTTACAAGAATTAATGTCAACAGAATTGGAGCCAAAGTGAGAAATTTGTAAACCAGAAGTATTACCTACACCGCCAACCTGATCATTACCAGTATATTCCTTAGGATTCACAAGATTTTGCAAGTCTGGAGTGAGGTGTGTATTTGCACCAGTATCAAATAGCCAGCTGCCATTGGATTGACGAGTGAGAGTGGTAGGCGATGTGGCCATGGCAGTAAGACGCTTGGCTGGAATTCTACCCTCATATGCCATGTTCATGTGTTGGAAACAATCAACGGCTGGATGGCCAGCTTTGCCACAAATCTGACAGACAATTCTGGGAGTAGCCGATGCAAAAGACTCTCCAAAATTGGGTGCATTACGTTGAGTAGAGAAAGTACCGCGAGAGACACCACCTCTTTGATTGGGAAAACCTCCACGAGTGGACGGTGCAGCACCACGCCCACGTCCTCGAGAACTACTACGTCCACGAGCAGCAAGAAAAGCCATAGGTCCAGTCTCTGGCATAGGAACAGTTTGCTCAGTCATTCGTCGTTCAGCAGTCAGAAGAAGAGCTTCAAGGGTGTCATATGTGATTGGAGTGTCACGAGCTTGCACTGCACTCACGATCATGTCATAGGCTGGTCCAAGATTATTCATAAGAATCTGGACAAGTTAATCATCATCCACTGGCTTTCCAGAAAGCGCCAGGTTGTCACGAATAGCATTCATGCGATCAAGATAATCACTCACAGACAAATCACCTTTCATGGTTCGAAGCAGCTCATTACGCAAGTGCAAGATTCTGTTCTGAGAAGCAGAGGCATACCTGTGCTCCAAAGCCTGCCAAGTGGTGCGAGAAGTCTGATTCCTTGACACAGTAGAGAGAACAGATGGAGTCAAAGAGCTATTGATCCAACTAAGGATCAGTTGATCTTGTTGAAACCAGGTGGTGTAGGCGGGATTCACAGTAGTACTCCCAGCAACATTCTTAGGAGGACATTCACTGGTTCCATCAACAAACGACATAAGATCCCGACTGTTCAAAAGAGGAACGATCTGAGCTAGCCATAACGGATAGTTAGAACGATCCAGTTTGATGTTGACAATGGAGGGTATGGAAGGGGGAGGTACAGCATTGCTGGTTGGGGAATTGGTGTTGGCCATGAGTGTGAGGCAAGTGTGGAGAGAAAAAAATAATAATAATAATCAAGTCGTGAGACTGAAGGCTCTTGATACCATGTAAAACAATAGAGAGCGCAGAGAATGTTTTATCAGCTTGTATCCATCAACAAGATGGAACAGCAATTTATATTATCACAACTGAGTGCATCAGTTACAGAGATTACAATATATCCCAAAATAAGTGGGAGCCAAAACTATCATTTGAAATACAAATAGAAAAGCCTATCAGATTACAACTACCTATCAGATTACAACTAAGGAAACCCATACAGACTAGGACTCCTTCTCTACAGCTGCTACAGAATTTGAATTTGAGCACGTGGATAAGCTTTGTCTAACAGAAATCACCATTTTATCCACTTACACTCCTTTTTTAGTTATAAAATGGAGTGTAAGTGGATAAAATTAAAGTTAGGAAATCATCACTCTTCTTTTATAATGAGTTAGACGACTAAACGATTTTCCTATTTACAGAAATTATCTTAGAAGATAAACAGTTTCATATTATAACAACATAGATAAATGAGAATGAAACGATTGAAATTCTCATGTCTCACATTGAAAACATATCTACGGTGGTTGTTCTAGGACAAATCAAGGATAAATAAACATAAGCTTTATGTTTGTCCTCAACTAACGCCAGTATGCGAGGGAATCCCAAGCTATCACACTTCTTAATCTTTCTTTCATAATTTAATTATTTGGGTCATGCAATCATCCAACTTTTGTGTCACCCACCTACCTCCCCACCCAAATTATTGCTCACACCCTTTTTCAAAAACATATCGCACCCGTCGGATACACAACAAGAATAAATAAAATGGTTGTGGGTTTTTTTGTATGGGTGCCCTCAATAAGTGGATGAAATGTTTGGAAATTTTACCGGTAGAGGAGGGAAATTAGCGGAAAAAAAAATCATTGAATTTAACATCATGTCGAGCTTTATATAGCTAATTTATAGATGTATTGGTTTTACTTTTTCTTTGGTTTTTTGGACTTATTTTCTTCCAGATGCATCATGGGGTAAACTTTGGTGCAATGGCTTTGTTTACTACGTTCACGAAGGCAAAGGGAATCATGTATTGATCAATAATTAATATATATATATTCCATGATTTTCCCTCGATATATTTTTATAATCTTCGAATGGCTTGCTACTCTTCAATGCTTTTTTTTTTTGTTCAACCATGAATTAGATTCCAAGCCAAAAGGCAACCGCAAGGAAATACATAGAAAGCAGTAATTGTGACAAACTACAGAAGCACCTTCATCTGAATCGCTACAATCCAGCAAAATAAGGAAAACTCCTACTCTAAAAACAAAAATTAAGGAGGACCAGGAAGTCCATCAGACACCAAAACATGTATGGGAGGCAGCGGTGGTTGAGTAACCCAGCTTTCCAGCTCCACTACTCGGCAACCAATCGTTGCAGCCTCGTGAGCTGCTCGATTTGAACTCCTCTGAACCCAACGCCAAAAAACTCTTCTGAATTGATCAGCTCTGCGCCAGATAACCTCAATAGAAGGCCTGATAGTCCAGGCACAGTTCCTTATATCCCCCTTGATCCCGTCCACAAGGGTCTTTGAGTCAGTTTCCATGTAGACATCACTATAGCCAAGATTGGCTGCAAACTCCAGCCCCATGACTGCTGCTTCAGCCTCCACCTCAAGAGCAGAGTGACCCACCCGTGATGCAGCCAAGCCGCCAAGAAACTCCCCAGCTGAATTTCGAACTACCACTCCAACACTAGCTTTTCTACCATTGCTTTGCCAACTCCCATCGATATTTACTTTAACAAAACCCATTGGCGGCGGCACCCATGAGCAGACCGCGCCATTTAATGGGGAATGGCTTGTCACACTATTTGCATTAACATCATCACTGTTGATTCATTTCATATGCTTTCTTTCTTCTAGATGCAAGGGCGGAACCAGGAATTTTTCGACCGATGGGCTAGCTAATTTTTTTAACTAAAATAAAACTATGCATTAAATCATATAAACCATGCTAATAGTGTACATTAAATCAAATAAAAGTATAAACCACGCAAAGTATGCATTAAAAAATATGTTTAACAACATAATTAAAAGTGTACTTATTGAAGTTGTGCCTTGCGATCCTTGAGAGAATTGAAATCTTTTGTTATTACATCTGAATTGATATCGTCAGCAAGTTCTTTTTCAATGTAGACAACCATAGAATCTGCTAGAAACTCATTCTCCATCTTGTTACGAAGAGCTGTTTTAACAAGTTTCATAGCTGAAAAAGCTCGTTCAGTAGTTGCCGTAGAAACAGGGAGAGTTAGCACAAGACGGATCAACCTATCAATCAAATAATATCTGTTTGCCCTTTTTGTTTCAACTAATCCCTGACATAATTCAGAGAGTGTAGACACTTTTTGAAGTACAGGATGATGAGGTACGTCTGCCTCGTAAAGTTTCAGCTGGCATCTCAAAATATGTAACTCTTTTGGAGTGAAATCTTGAGGATAAAATCTCTCTGCAAGGCTGCAAATTTTATCAATATCAAATGATTTAAAAGAATCACTAGGGTCCAAAGCTGAACTAAGAATAAGAAGTTCCATTGCCCCTTCACTGAACCTACTGTTCAACTCTGCCAATTGAAAATCTATTGCATCATTGAATATGTCAAAGTGGTAATGATGCTCAACTGTAATATTGTCCTTTTGCTGACAAGAACGGCCTGTTCCCACTTTATATTGAGCATTCATATTAGGCATATCAATGTCATGTTTCCTGCAAAACAAATCTACTTTCCCAATAAAAGTTTCCGAACCATTTAATCTCAATTCTCCAAGGACATCTTTTGTTGTACCAACTAGGTTCATAGCATTCACAATGTCTTGAGACTTATGTTGTAGTTCTCGACAAAGGATATCTGTGAGTCCCATAATTTCTTTCAATAGATGCAAGATGAATACAAATTCAAATTGCCTAATCACATTGTATCCACCAGTAGCTTCCGCACGTAAGGAGCTTGTGGATCCATCCTCCTTTATATTTTCAAGAACTGTACAAACTGCATCATACATTTCTATTAAATCACAAACGGAATCGTAATGAGAACTCCACCGGGTAGCTCCAGGTCGATGCAAGGTACCAATTTGATTAGCTCCTCTACCAGCCTCTCGCTGCAGATATTCTTTTGGGACTGCTAAGGCTAAGTTTCATAAATATGAATATTGTCTTCTTCGTCTTTTTTATTAGACTGACTAAGATACTTATAAAGTTGTGTATGACAAACTAGACTAGGAATAGGATACTTCATCATATCAGACTAGGATACTTTATTCAATGAATGGGAAACTAGAATACCTTATTAAATAGGAAATAAACCACACCAAAAATAGACATTGAAAAAGGAAAATAATATAATAATAAAAAGACAACAGCCAGCCATCAATGGTCCAATGCATTGGCCACGTAACCCAAGCTGGCCTTCATAAACACAACTATATCTATTTTTATTTTTTTTAATAAAAAAGGTCCCTGGGCTAGAGCCCACTCTAGCCCATATGCTAGTTCCGCCACTGTCTAGATGTATTGGTTCTACTTTTTCTTTGGTTTTTTGGATTTATTTTCTTCCAGATGCATCATGGGGTAAACTTTGGTGCAATGGCTTTGTTTACTACGTTCATGAATAATTAATATATATATTCCATGATTTTCCCTCGATATATTTTTATAATCTTCGAATGGCTTGCTACTCTTCAATGATAACAAAAGTGAGATTTGCAGAAAGAGATAAGAAGGAAGAAAGCTAGAGAGAGAACACAGAGATTTCTAAGAGATCTTTATTGTTTGTATTTTCTTAATGAACAATTACCGTACACACAAGAGCTTTATACAATTGTTTAACAACTCCTAATTGACCACGAGATATACATGTGATCTACAGCTAATATGCTGACTAGACATGTACAGTCATCATTCCCCCTCAAACCCAGCTGGGTTCCCCAATCTAAGATTAATACAGTGTTTGAGGAAAATAGGACTATGAAGACCTTTGGTAAATACATCAGCCACTTGTTCTTCAGTTGGTATGTATTGAACAATCAGGTCTCCTCTTTGAACTCTCTCTTTGACAAAATGAAAATCAGTATCTAAATGCTTGATACGTGAATGAAAAACAGGGTTAGAACTGGGTGCAATAGCTGACAAGTTGTCACAATGCAAAACAGGTTGATGAGGCAGACGGACTTTTAAATCTTGCAACACTTGCCTTATCCAAGCTATATTAGCTGAGGTATGTGCCAAGGATCGATACTCAGCTTCTGTTGAACTCTTAGCCACAGAGGTTTGTTTCTTGGATTGCCATGAAATAGGATTAGGACCTAAGAAAACCACAAATCCCGTAGTAGATCGTCTGGTATTCACATCTCCTGCCCAATCTGCATCACTAAAAGCATGTAATTGCCAAGGACCACTAGAGAACTTCAATCCATGATCTAGAGTGCCCTGAATGTATCTGAGTATCCTTTTAACAAGTAACCAATGAAGTTCTGTAGGAGCAGTCATGTATTGGCAAACAGAATTGACAGCATAGGATAAATCTGGTCTGGTAAATGTTAAATATTGTAAAGCTCCAACAACACTTCGATATAATGAGGGATCAGATAGAAGTGTACCCTCAGACTGCAATACTTGAGTATGTGGCTAACTAGGAGTTGAACATGGTCTGCAGGAACACATGCCTGCTTTATGTAGAAGTTCTTTAGCATATTTCTTATGACTTACAAATATATCACTCTCTGCATTATAATCAATCTGTAAACCCAAGAAATAGGTTAGCATTCCCATGTCTTTCATTTCAAAAACTGCACTGAGTTCATCAACCACTTCTTGAATACAAGATGCCTTGGAACCTGTAAGAATTATATCATCCACATATAAAAGAAGAATGACAATATCAAATCCAATATGTTTGACTTTAACATACTTGGGTCATAATGAGAGGATTTGAAACCAATAGCTGGTAAATAACCAGTGAATTTAGCATTCCAAGCCCTTGGAGCTTGCTTAAGACCATAAAGAGATTTCTTTAATTGACACACAAACTCTGGATGTGCAGAATCTTCAAAACCAGGGGGTTGCCTCATGAAAACTTCTTCTTCAAGATCGCCGTGTAAAAATGCATTTTTAACATCTAATTGTCTTAAAGACCATTTGTTCATAGCAGCAATACTCAGAATTAATCGAACTGTAGTATGCCTGATGTTCTTTTTAGTTGTGCTGAACTCTCACCTAATTGTAGATAATTTTGCCCTCAATAAGTGGATGAAATGTTTGGAAATTTTACCGGTAAAGGAGGGAAATTAGCGAAAAAAATTTAGGTCGCATCCTTCATTGATTAACAAAAATTCATGGAAAATCAAAAATTAGGTGATAATTCTGGAGGTAATTCGGCATTTTACTCATTGCTTTAATGCTGTAGTGTCCTCTAATTTACAAAGAGGAGATCAAACTCGGATGTAAGTAGACGGACGGTTTTAACCCACCTCTGCAAAACTTGTAGCCTTTGTGCGGATGTAATTGTCCACAACGACTTGACTCCATTTTCCTTTTCATAGTGGCTTATCAAATTGGTACTAAATCCTTTTCATAGTGGCTTATCAAATTGGCACCTTAAGGCAGAGAAATTAAAGAGCTCATGCAACAGATGGCCTCCATTATAATTAACGTCAGTTTCAGTACTGTATAGTAATAGTACATATTCTGATAGAAGCTAGAGGATGGAACTCGATGCAGAGAACGAATGCTTGGCTGATCGTGTCTTTGCTTGCATTGCACATGTTATGTTCTGCTGACTAATCAAAACATTGGCTTTGTCTATTTCTTTTAGGGTAATGATTTCCCCACTCTCTTTTTATTCACTTACACTCCTTTTTTAGTTATAAAATTGAGTGTAGTTGGATAAAATTGGAGTGGGGAAATCACCATTTTATCCACTTACACTCCCTTTTTAGTTATAAAATGAAGTGTAAGTGGATAAAATTAAAGTGGAGAAATCATCACTCTTCTTTTATAATGAGTTAGACGACTAAACGATTTTCCTATTTACAGAAATTTTCTGAGAAGATATATAAACAGTTTCAAATTATAACAACATAGATAAATGAGAATGAAACTATTGAAATTCTCATGTCTCACATTGAAAACATATCTACGGTTGTTGTTCTAGGACAAATCTAGGATAAATAAACATAAGCTTTATGTTTTTCCTCAACTAACGCCAGTATGCGAGGGAATCCCAAGCTATCACACTTCTTCTTTCATAATTTAATTATTTGGGGTCATGCAATCATCCAACTTTTGTGTCACCCACCTACCTCCCCACCCAAATTATTGCTGACACACTTTTTCAAAAACATATCGCACCCGTCGGATACACAACAAGAATAAAAAAAATGGTTGTGATGTAGATACTTATAACCTAACATTTCAAGTGCACTTTTTTTTTTTACAGCAAGCAATGGATTTCATTCATTGAAAAGAGAAAAGGATTACAAAGCACCATCGTGTATAGAGTGACCTCATTAAAACCTTCACAGAGAAAATCACTTGGGACAAAACCCTGGAGTAGAAAATAGTACCACACACACCTATAGAAAATTAAAACTGAAATACAGTTAACAGAGAATCCTACACTAAAGTATCAATTGAAGCCACCCAGGAGGTGCCCCCATCCATTCATACAACACAGAGCCTCCATGAGACGACAAAGCAAAGTGAGCAAATTTGTCAGCCACTCCATTCGCTTCCCGATAATGGAAGGAAGAACTGTTGTGCACATGGTTTGCATTTTGAGTTACAAATATTAGTAGCGGATCCAAGATTCTAAACCTGGCTGGGCAAAACTCACTGTAAAAACGCGACAGTACGAGTGAATTTCATTAACAAACATAAAAAGATATACGTAGTCATGGAGGATGTAATGAGCCTTCCCCTAAAATGCATCTCTGTAGGTAAATTAATGCTTAGCAAAAAAAAAAAAACACATATTTTTTTCTTAAAGAAAAAAAGACAACAACTTCTTTGTTTTCTTGGGATTCGGATTGTGATCCGACATAAAAAAGGATAACATGTTCCAACAAAAAGTCAAATAAATTCTCATAATAGCATCAATGTCTTTAATCAAACATTTACATACCAACAACATATTAGATTATGGTTCTAAAATACATATATTGTTATATAACTAAGGCAATTTGTAGAGAGAAATGAAGAGTAGAAAAAGACAAAAGAAATTATTCAATCAACTTGTATATCTCATCTTGGTAAGACCTCTTATTTATAGGCTTACAATGATAAGAAGACATTAACAACTCATAAAATATTGCAAGCCTATAACTCTGGTATTTAGTGTATACGTTACATATAATTAGAAAAGGTGAATGCTAAGAGGTATGGTGGTCATCCACCAATTCATGCATTTACAACATATATACATATATGCAAGGGCGGAACCAGGAATTTTTCGACCGGTGGGCTAGCTAATTTTTTTTAACTAAAATACAACTATGCATTAAATCATATAAACCATGCTAATAGTATACATTAAATCAAATAAAAGTATAAACCACGCAAAGTATGCATTAAAAAATATGTTCAACAACATAATTAAAAGTGTACTTATTGAAGTTATGCCCTGCAATCCTTGAGAGAATTGAAATCTTTTGTTATTACATCTGAATTGATATTGTCAGCAAGTTCTTTTTCAATGTAGACAACCATAGAATCTGCTAGAAACTCATTGAATGGGAAACTAGAATACCTTATTCATCCATACATAGACTACAGGCTCCTTGAATAAGGTATGGATGAATAAGAAACTAGAATACCTTATTGAAGCGACTTTATTCAGTGGGAAACTAGAATACCTTATTGAATAGGAAATAGACCACACAACACAAAAAATAGACATTAAAAATAATAATAATAAACTAATCATAAACACTGATAAACGTCTGTAAGGTCCAACTTTGGTAAGGTATTGAATAGGAATACCTTTAATCATAATCATATTCAAGATTCTCACTTTCATAAACGTCTGTAAAGTCCAAAAATAATAATAATAAAATAATAAAAAGACAACAGCCAGCCACAATGGTCAAATGCATTGGCCATGTAACCCACGCTGGCCCTCATAAACACAACCATACCTAATTTTTTTTTTTTTTTAAAAAAGGTCCCTGGGCTGGAGCCCATTCTAGCCCATATGCTAGTTCCGCCCATGCATATATGGGTCGTTTTAAGAGAAACCCAATAGGAGAAGATAATAAAAGAGGAGAGAAAATTTGAGTTATGCATACATGTAGGTTGTTTTTTGAGCGGGCACAGGTTTGTATGTTTCACATGGACTTGGCTATTACATATGGATATTTTTATCTTTTTGAAAAATTTGGGGTAGGCAGCAGTCTCCCTTGCCCTAGGCGTAGGACCGCCCCTAACAAATATCACACTTGTGGCATATTGATATCCCATTAAATAACAAATTCGTTTGAACTTCTTTAAAAGTGATGCAATTAGCCAAAATTTTGTTGGAAGTTTGAATAGAAAAACTAGAGTCACACAAATAGGTGTGTAATTTTTCTTAAAATAAAAAATTAAAAGACAAGGATGTCTATTTATAGAACATCCAAAATCTGCAATAGGGATGGAATTTTGATCACTCAGAATCACTCAACACATTGAGTGAGAAAGCATATATAGTTCGCCAGAATTCGATGGTTGTATCTTGGAGATAGATGCCTAAAGAACTACAAGGCACGTATGTAGGGAGTGAATTTCTGTGTGTGAACATTGGACATTGCATATGCAAACCTTTGTCATACTTGAAGTGAGTTATTTAAACTCATTCATTTACTTTGATTTTGTGAATTGAATGGTTAATTACTTTTGTTATTATAAAGTTCTGTATATGATTTATAATTTCTGTTATCATATATTCACATACTGATTGTTTCCAACAAATATGAGAAAGTTGTTCATTATTTTCCTATATCCTTTTATCAGCGTGACTTTATTACTGATTTTGAATCAGTTATTATCCTCAACGTAACTATTAAAAACGCCAAAATTTGAAACCCCTACTTCAGTCATCATGGGTTACGTTTTGTCTCAAAAAGTTTCAATGCTGTTACATGTTATAGATATAATGTATTTTTCATGTAATGTGGGCGAAGACCAATTCAATATCCTCACTTATGTTTTTGATGGCTTCCATGGTCCATGTAGTCGCATAACCTCAACCAGACATCTTTCATGCCTAGCCGGGTCCCTAAACTCTTAAAACTAAAAAGCTTAAGGTTGGTTGAGGAGGGTGCTTCCATTGAAGCATTGGTAAAGCACATGATCCTTAGCTACCCTATTCTCTCTTTAGGCCTCTTTTCCTACTTCTCCTCCTGATTCTATAAATACAACCATTTATCTCAGCATTTTGTCACACACTCCCTCTCTCTCCACTGCTTCTGCTACAACATCCTCTCTCTCCCTCTGATATATCTTTTGTTTGAGTTGATCAGTTGAAAATGGTGACCGTGGAGGAAGTTCGCAAGGCTCAAAGGGCTGAGGGTACTGCCACTGTGTTGGCCATTGGGACAGCAACTCCTCCCAATTGTGTTGATCAGGCCACCTACCCTGACTACTACTTTCGTATCACCAACAGTGAGCACAAAGCTGAGCTTAAAAAAAAATTCCAGCGCATGTGTATGTAGTAATTGTTTTCTCCACTTTTTTCTTTCTCTTCTGATCTACATTCATTATTCTTTTTCTTGTTTTTCTTTCATCAGAATTTTTTTTATAATTTGGATCATGTTTATTCTGTGTGTTGCACCCCAAAAAAACATTAAAACACACAAATTTGGGTAAATTTCAGCAAATTGGACACCATTTTATGTGTGCATGTGCTATACACACACTTCGTTTTTCATTATTTCAAAGGTGTTTGATAATTTTCCCCTTAATTTGTCATTTATGCATGAACATGACGTGGTTTCATATTTGTGGGGTTTGAATTCAATAAATTGGTTTTTTTTGTTCATTTGTTGGGTGAAATGCAAATAGAACATTGAATTTGCATTGGCGGAGAACATTAAATATTTACAAGGTCCACCAAATGGTCATCGAGTTCAGACTTGATTCAGAGTTGCAGATGAATGAATATGTTAAATTG